AGACTTAACTCTATAATTTCAATTAATAAAGTTTCTATTTTGGCGTTATAAAAAAAAAAAAAAAAAAAAAAAAAATATATATATATATATATTTGCTTAATAATTTAAATATAGTAGAAACTTAATAAACTCTACTAATACCAAATGTTCTATTTTTATTCTTATGAAAACTTTTGAAAAAAGTGATTGAAAATGATTGAAAAAGATTTTCTGTTAAAGACACACTTAGTAAATAAATTTTATTAATTGATCAAAGTATATTTAGTATGAAACTTATAGTTAAACAGATTGTGAAAATTCTGGTTTTTTAGACTACTATTGTATATCAATTTTTCAATTGCCCATATAAATAACTTGTGTAACTGTAATTTCAGAATCTATCAGATACAAGTTTCTTCTATGCTATATAACATTTACCTGATTACTCCTATATTTATTGCTATCCTATTCATAATACTCTAACTGTTAATTTTAATTACTTTTGGAATTAGTTTTCTACTAAGTACTCTGTTTTCTAATTCACTAATATAATATCTTTGTTGTTTATAGTGTAGCAAGCTAGCTTAGCTGCTTCAGCTGATTTAGCCATAGCTTATATTACTGCAGCTTAGCTATAGCTAAGCTATAGCTAAGCTGCAGTAAATATTTAATAATATTGATTTGTAGCTAAATCCATGGTTAGAGGAATAAAGCAGATTAGTAGAACTCTATTGAATCTAAACTAATTACAAATTTAGTAATAGTTTACAAAATATTTGCTTTACTAAAAATATTTACTGCGCTACCAGTTACAGCTAATACTTTAATAACATATGTTTTGCAATAAATTCATTACATATATTTTTTCATGAATTTATACTTATGTATATCAAGCAGATGTATATTACTTCTATAAAACTAAGTTTATAATAAATTTAGCAATAATTTATAAAATATTTAAATTGCTAACATAGTAGTTAGTAATACAGCAAATATATAATAAATATATATTTTGCAGTTTAGATAATTTATAGAACTTTTTGATTCTTTGATAATAAATAGTTCAGATACATTAAATTCTATTACAAACTAAGTTTATTTTAATTGTAGACAACTTCTTATGTTAAAATTTATTATAACAAATTATTTATTTTAGTTTTATAATATAACAGATTTTAAAAAATTTATTACATTATATTATAGTTCACATGAAGTTAAATGAAAATGGATTTGATCCCAAGATATTTTTAGAAATATCTAAATATCTTGAATCAACTAATGAATTGACTAATGTTGACCACATGAAATTAACATGTTCATTAGGTGAATGGTCAGGAAGGCACGGTGAATATGTAAGCTTTAAATTTTACATCGCAAATATTTTAAATATGTTATGCTTTTTAACCGTATTTTATTTTAGATATTAGAAACATTAAAAAACCTTTATGAATCTACTACTTATATGCCAGAATATATGGGAATATCTAAAAGCGATTATCAAAGATTAATAGCCGATTTTGATGAGCAATGTAATCAAAACAAATCCTATTTAGAAGTACATAGATATATTGCCAAAAAAATTTGAATATATTAGTAATATTTTATAAAAAAAAAATTCCTTCAATAAAGTATATCAAAAACATATTTACTTATTGATTATTTTTAGATTTTATAGATATTAAAATACTTGATAAAAATTAGATTTTATAGATATTAAAATACTTAATAAAAAAGATAAATTTTGAGTTTTTTATTGCAATGGTAAATAATTATTATACAGCCGTGTTGTTAATGTATAACCTCCAGATATTTTTGTCCGATTAGAGATACTATTCTGCTTATTCGAACTCAATTCGTCCTTGTATGAACCCTGAAATGGTTAAATTTTTTAATCATGTGAACTTACTGTAACTATGTTGTACTCGAATTTAGTTCGAAATCAATCTCCAGAACATTATTATTTTTAGCAAGTTTCAAACTACATGTTCAGTAAAAATAATTTATAGTTATTGTATTTCACCTGACAAATAAAAGGAGAATCTGGCTTTGAATTTAATGTGTCATCTGGGCTCTGAAAGGGCTCAGGTAGGGATGGCAAATGATTTAAAACACAATGTTTTAAATCAATATTATATAATTATTTAAACTAATAATATAATTAGTACTATTTATAACTAAAAAATTAAATTTATTTTTATTAAAAAAATAATTATATATAAATAATAGTAAATATTACAATTTAAAATAAAAAAATAATTTATTATTTAATAATTTAAAATTATAATAATAATTAATATATATATTTATTTAGTAACTTATATTTAATAATTATATTAGTTTTGTAATTATTTTTATTAAAATAAATAAATCTATATTTAATTTTATTGATCTATTTCTAAAATAAAACTAAAATAAATAATTTGTTATAATAAATTTTAACATTAGAAGTTGTCTACAATTAAAATAAACTTAGTTTGTAATAGAATTTAATGTATCTGAACTATTTATTATCAAAGAATCAAAAAGTTCTATAAATTATCTAAACTGCAAAATATATATTTATTATATATTTGCTGTATTACTAACTACTATGTTAGCAATTTAAATATTTTATAAATTATTGCTAAATTTATTATAAACTTAGTTTTATAGAAGTAATATACATCTGCTTGATATACATAAGTATGAATTCACGAAAAAATATATGTAATGAATTTATTGCAAAATGTATGTTATTAAAGTATTAGCCACGGCTGGTGGTGCAGTAAATATTTTTGGTAAAGCAAATATTTCGCGAACTATTACTAAATTTGTGATTATTTTAGATTCAATGGAGTCCTACTAATCTGCTTTATTCCCCTAACCATGGATTTGGCTACAAATCGACGTTATTAAATATTTACTGCGGCTCAGCCGCGGCTCAGCCACGGCTGAGCCGCAGTAATATAAGCCGCGGCTGGATCGGCTGAAGCGGCTAAGCCGGCTTGCTACACTACTTTGTGCCTGGTTCAAAAATGCCTGCTGTTTTTGGACTTGTGCACTTATATTATACGATTGTTGAGTTTGACACTATTAACCGAAAATGGGACATATATTTGTTTTAGGCGTTCTAGAAATCCCCAATTCCCAAACTATGTGAAACTTGTAGTAATATAATTAATGAAAAAAGTTTTAGTCACAATTCTAGAGTTTTCGTAATTGGAAAGAATTATTGGTATCAAGCAGTCAAATAAAAGAGGAATGATGTTAACTAAGTTTTAACTTTGACGGCCTAATCAATCTAATGCACGAGTATTTATCAATTGTTATAAGGAAAAACTTAGTATTTAAGAATTTATTTTGCAATCTTTTTTACGTTAAAAAGACTAGTGTTAAAGTACCAACTTAATAAAAATTTCGATATTAACATTAGTATTAGGGTATGAATATATTTTTGGTTTGATTTATTTTATAGCAAAATTTTTTAGGCCGGTACAAGCCTAGAAGTGTCAGATATTATTATGGTTATAGGCACGAAATGCTTAGTACATGAGTGCCTTTGACACTTATTAGACACAAGTACTAAATACCTAGCATAAAAGCGCCTGGTACTTTTGTAGACGTGAACATAAAGTGCCTAGCATAAAATTGCTTGACACTTTTAGGCTGGTATTTTTATGTCTGAGTCCATGATAATGTCTGCTACAAAAGTGCCTGCCACCTTAAGGATAGTATTTTTTTATGCCTAGTATGCCTGGCATGGGCACTTGAAAAATCCTAATCTGTATTTACAATTCATATAAGTTATATATAAATTTTTTTTTTTTTTGAAAAAAAAACTTTTTGGAAAAACAACTATTTGAAAAAAAAAAAAACTATACGAAAAAGCTAATCAGCTTTATTAAGATAAATCCACAAAGTTTTTTTTTAGTTGCTGACTTTGCAATTCAATAGCTTCAACTTTGGCTGTTCACTTCTGAGTTTTATTTCTAAAAGACATCTTTTTCTATACCAACAGGCTCATTTTCTTTATTAATTGTATTTCTTGATGTAACTTCTAAATTTCTATTCGAATTTCATTTTTGTCATATAAATCGGTATCAAGTTCTATTTGAGTCATTACTTCAGTGGCAATTCAGGAATTATTATCATAATACAAGCTTTTTTCTTTAGTATTTGTTGACATCGCTTTTCTATTACGGGAATTTGTTATTTCAGATTTATTTTTTTTTATTTAATCTTGTAGCTAAATGTAACAATTTAAATATATATTAAATAATATTAGTTTGGATCTGTCCAAGTACAATATGAAATACAATAGCTATACTTTCCAGTGAGGTTGATGGATTCAATAGGTACGTTCAAGTAAAATTATAGTTTTTGTGATGTAAAAGTAATTTCAGGAATTTCCTCATCATACAAGCGAATCTTCACATTCGATTTCGGATAATTCAATTAATTATTATTTATAAAAAAAAAACTTTAATAAAAATTTGGCCTACTTGTTGGATTTACTGGTTCAGGTTGAAATTCTTCAATTATATTGATACTTATTTGTTTGTTAAAGTAAATCGTTCTTAAATTACTAAAGCCATGCAATCGTACACTTCTATCATGCATATCGGATATGTCTGAGTACTGTAAAATCAAAAAAAAAAAAAAATTAGCGTCCGTCCTAGGGTAATTTGCAGTACCGTACCGTACCGGTACTACTTTACTATACACGTATACTCTATACTTGTGACCTGAAACCCGAAACCTTTCCGAAACTTACAAATTAGAATGTTAATAATTAATGTACATTTACTATAAAGTAACCAAAATGTTTCTGAAGTGCAATCTAATTATTCTATACTTTAAGTCTTAAAGTTTAAAATTAAATTTCTAAGACTTTCAGTATAGTGTTAGAGTTTCGGAAAGGGTTTCGGGTTTCGGTTTCGGTTTCGGGATTTTATATATAGTTTCGGGTTTCGGATGACAACTATAATTTCTATCACTTAATCGTTTTACTTTTGTCAGTTTCGCCAACTTTTACTAGTTCGTCACCTTTCAGTAGTTTCGCCACCTTTTATTAGCTTCGTCAGTTTCGTTAGTTTCGCCGTTTCGCCATTTCAAAATTTTTTCGACGAAAGACGAAACTAGACTTCGCCTTTCATCATGGCGAAGCCTCTTAGGTTTTGCCTAACAACTATATCAACATCCCTAATACTGTAATAAATACAGTATATACGGTACTAGTTATATAATTTTTTATTTTATCAGTTTTAACTACGTTAAATGTTAAAATTAGTTGTATCATGTGATAAACCCCAAAACATAGTGCTGTCAGCATTACTAGTAAGATATCGAATGTTATAGTTGCTTGACGAAACTATGTGATGCTAATCATCACATAGCCACGAATAGTAACATGTTAATTGCACTACGTAATATTATTAACGATTAACATGTGGCTGTATGATGATTAGCATCATATAGTTTCGTCAAGCAACTAGGCTAATTCTTATTTTTGTACTTATGCAAAGTAAATCCACATTCTCTGTAATAAATTTTCCAAAATAACGAACTATGAATATTCTCGTTTGAATTTATCTACACAGGTAGTCAGCCCATAAATCCTACTCCTCAAGAGTAAATTTTATTTGTATGGTAATAGCATATATTCATAAAGATATACTGGTAATTACCGAATTCTGAATAATGAAATGTTAATAAATTGCCTTTAACTATGTATAGCGTTTAAAACTTTTTTAATCGTAACGAAAGGGTAATAAAAATATACAAATTATTTCACAACCTTGGGGTAAATAAAATTAAACGAATTATTTCATGAATATTATTATTCACAATTTAATTTATAGTAAATAATATCGTAGTTTCTAATTCCAAGATGATTAAAACTTTATTTATTAATTAATAAAGCAAAAAAAAAAACCTTCATTATAAGCAAAAGTGATCAACGTGGCGTATGATTTTTTTTTTTTATTATTTGCATGATCCAAGTATAAAAATTAACAGTTGGATAGTATTAGAAACATGATGATAACTTGTATGGAAATTTCGCCTCATTTTCATTTACAGTACATAAATATATTTAAAAGGAACACAAAAATATTTAAAAATGAGACCCAAGACAATTATCTCATTTACCTCTCAATCTTTTTCACAAACCACAATTTCGTCATGGCCATGAAGTGCTTTTGATGAAGTATAATACAAGCTACCAATACATTTCTCCACTGCTTTTAAATTCTCATTATTCATCTCACACGTCTTTTCCAGGCATTTTGTAAATTGTTGTTCAAATTCTCTAGCAAATAATCAGAAGGTTCACGTAACACGAGTAGATCTCCACCTTTCTTGAACGTAATCTATTGCAGAAAAACTATATAATAAAACACATAAAAACTTACACGATTTTGAAAATACGCCAAAGTTGATCTAATGTTATAAACTCTTCGAAGTTTAAGCAGTTCGGCTTCATCTTTCATTTGTTTCTCTCTTAATTCATGTACCTCTTTTTTATGTTTATTATATATTTGCTTTATTTAATTTCTTCACCTCTGTATAATTTGCTTCAAATATTTGCTTTAAAAATGAAAGTGGAATTACATCTGCGCTTGTAGATGTGATTAAACCATGAGATTCCACCAACTCTCTTTTGGATGAGTAAGTATGTTTTTTGTCAACAATCTTATAATGTTTTTCTTTCGTGTCAGACCTATTTAAATAAAAAGGCATTTTTGTGGTTTAAAGTTAGCTAGAATTGTGAGTGGCAAGCGTTGAAACGAAGAAATCATTTTGAGTTCAAACTAGAAAAAAAAAGTTAATAAGATTATCGTGCAATCTTTTATTTGTCCAATCAGGTGTGGATTTAATCGTTAATACATCATCCGAATTCCGAATGGTATTGTTCTTAAAATACATAATAATAATAATAACGTACCCTACGATTTTTGAAATTTTTATATCTTGGGTTATCAACTATTCAATAGATGAAAATTTATATATTATACATAAAATCAAAAACAATCAATTGAAAGACAGATGAGTTTAGTTTCTTGATTATTCTAAAGTAGTCATTATTATGATCTCTTTTCAAAACAGAAAACAGTTTACATTGACAAAAAGTCCACATATGTAAAAGTAGTATTTTTATTATAAAATCATAAAACAAAAACTTTGAGATTAAAAACTGAGTTGTTCCCTCTTCGCATTTTTTTAAGGTTAAGGACAATTATTGACTGTATGAAACGGATCATAATGTAAAATTCTACTGTTTAAATACATTTTTGAAGACTGTGAAATGAGCTGTCTGTGAAATAAATTATCTACAAAATAAACTTGACTATGAACGAATTGGACGTCTGTAAATGTATACTTGGTGCGGGGAATGCTGATTGATGATTAGATAGGTGGAATTATGGTAGTAGTGCGGGCCAGCATTAAGGTACAATGACGTGACAATAATTAACAATTAATCTATGACAGATCAAATTAATGAATGTCATACGAAAGTGTAGTTTAGTTTAAGATAGTAATAACGAAGTCAAATATATGATGGTGCATAAAATAATGTAATGGTTAGTATTCATATAGAAGTAGTATTTTAATAAAGAAATGTTCAGATCTTTTGGCATTGAGAAAGTGTTACGTTGAAATGAAAGTGTATTGTATTTCTATGTGAAATAGTAGTGAACGATAAAGTGCTAATAAAGAAACGTGTTAGATATATTGATACTGTCAAACAACCTATAGCTAGATATCTATAACTACGGTTAGAGACTAACCCCTTGACAGTAAAATAAACTTGTCTGTGAATCACACTTTTAGGTTCAGAACAGTTTGTTGCAAATCAAATGTTTGAAAGGCATTACATCCAGAAAACAAAGAAATCACATTTTTTTAGATTAAAATTGTTCAAGAAAAACATTAGGTTTCTTATATATTTTTTGAAATTTTTTTGCAAAACAGTCCTATAAAAAAAAAAATTTTAAAATAATATTCGAATTTCTTTCAAAAAATAATCAGTATTTTTTATATAATTTCCTGAATATTTCTGAATTTCCTATCTGATTATAATCTTGCCAGAGAGCAAAAGATTTTACAGATGTTTTCAAAAAGATGTTGACAACGATTTCAATATACCTATATGGGAAATCATCTTTTTTTTTTTATAGGGTGGTTTTTTCTGATTGTACTACGTGTCGTAATTTTATATTGGCTAATTTGTTTTTCACGTGAAATAATTTTAATTGGCTAATTCGCGGCACCTTTATCACTGCACACCTAATAATATTATCGTTACGTATTACCAAATTAAACATAATTATTCCTTAACTGTTAATAAAGTATAGCTATCAAATTCTCGAAACCTATTTTTTATGAGTCAAATATGGATATTGGTTTATTAAAGCATTAAGCAATTTTGTTTGCTTTTATAAATAATATGTCTTAATCTCTCATTCTGATTATAGATTTGGCTGGTGATGATACACTTACTTCCGTTTCTGAGAAATTTTCTTAATGTCCTCTCTTATCTCTTTTTCGAATAATTTTCTGAATCAGTAGTAGAAATATATTAATTAGATCTCGATTATTTCCTTGGGATAGTTTAGAGACAGAAGAATCGGAAATTTGAAATCCAGTAGGTATACAGTACTTACCTTAATATTTGATATATCGATTGAGTCGGTAATATGCGCATAGAGCCAGGTTAATTCTTATTTTTATTGCATATTGGTTAACTTGTAAAATAAATATAAAAACTGAATTGATAAGTGAACTCGGTTCACATTCTTTTAATAAATTTTCCAAAAATAACGAAATATATCAATAAACATGTATTATCCAAATTGCTATAAATAATTGTGTCTGAATTTTTTCTATCTATTGAGAACTGGGTACAGCGGTGAGTCAGTCACTTAACAATCTAATTCCTTGCGTGACCTACGGTGGGCTTTACTGGGAAAAGGCGTTGGCGAGTTGGTTGGTTCCGTAGGTAGGTCTTTCTCCTATCTGAGTAACTCTAGGCTTTCTTTAACCTCAGCTATACACACTTACTTCGGGTAAGCTGGACAAATCAACCACAGTTGTACCAGGTACGTTAGGATAACAACTGGACGGGTATCGAATTTAGCGAGGGGTCACGTGAACATCGTTTAGAGAGAGAGACAAAGTTTATCAATATGCCACTTAATAACAAACTCGGATTAGGATTGTTAGCGAATATATTTGATTAGGGGAATTTATTATATGTAAGGGTCAGATTATTATTTTTAATAAAACGAACTTGAATTTTATTATTTATTATGCGAAAGGTGGGAGTTATCTTCCCTCTAGGCCTTTATTTATAATATAGTTTTTATTTACATTTGGTATTCTACGTTTAATACTTGTCAAGGAGTTAGCCTATAACCGTTGTTATAGGTATCTAGCTTTCACGATAACGATGTGTCTAACGCTTTTCTTTATTAATATTTAATTGAAGTTCACAATTTCACACAGAAATACACTTATTTTATAGTAACGCTCGTTAACACCCAAAAATCTCTCTTTTATTCTTTATTAAAAATATTGCTTTTATATGAAAACTATTGTTACATCATTTTATGCATCATTATGTATTTGACTTAGTTGTTGCTATCTTAAACTATATTATACTTTCACACAACATTCATTAATATTGATCTGTCATAAGTTACTATCGTCCACGTCATTGTACTTAATTCCAGCTAGTGATGGGCATGCGCGTGATTTTTTGGATCCCGCGCGGGATTTTTAATATGATCCCCAATTCAGGCCAGCCGGCCCGCATTAACATAATTTTAAGAAACTCACGATGTAATCCTATCCCGCGCATCACGCGCGGGATATTTTGGAAAACCGTGATTTGCCCATCACTATATCGAACCTGGTTAATCCAAGAATAGCCTTAAAACCCGGACCAAATCTTCCACGCCGTCTTTCAGCCTTTCAACTTAGGGTTGATTGTTGGATTTGAGTTGTATATGAACCCTTGCGTAACATAGCCTCCGGACAAGTTCGGTTAAAGGACCGATTCGGACCTTTTCATCGTGAACTACCCCAGTATCGCCAACAAAATTACTAATGTGAGCCCTGAATTTTGAATCCAAACCAGGCCGGCAACATAACGTGACAGTGAGTCACGTGGTTAAACTGAATAAACTGCAAATATCGCATATATGCCATATATGACATATAAGTCATATATTACATATACGCCATTTAAGCGATAAAGGCCTATATCTCATTTATGGGATATATGGATTAAATGCCATATATGAGATATATGGCATATCTGCGATAAATGACATATCTTTAATAAATAGCATAAATTGTATACAATATTTTATATTATAAATAAAGGCCTGTAGGCCCAGTGAAAGGAGATAACTCCTAAGTTTTGCTTAAATAAAACTGAGTTCTTTATTAAATAATCTTAAGCTCCATACAATTTAAATCCCGAATAACACACTTTCACTAAACTAATTACCCTATAACCCCGATCTACTGTTTAACGTAACCTAACAGTACGATCCTCGCTAACCTGTTCACGTGATACCTACCCATAACTTGTCTGGTTAAGTCTTAACGCACCAAGACTAACCGTGGTAATTTGTCCAACTAACCCGACGGATTGTGGTTTGTTGTGGTTATTTTGTCCAATTGTCCGACGAACCGTGGTGATTGTGGTTACAAACTTAGGATACACGACGTACAGTTGTATCATAGTATCCCAAATCCTAAAGATAAAGTCTTCACGTGATTCTCTTTAAATAAGTAAAAGATTAGTGTTAGTATAGTAACCTCCCAAGGCATAATCACCAAAGAATTACTCACCTACGAACCTAAACCACCGACCAAATCTAAACGCCCTCTTTCGACTAAGCCATTCGTAGGTTACGCAAGATTCTCCTTAGTCAAGCGACTGACTCGCCGTATTTTTACCGCCACGTGATGATCTACGAAAATAAGCTAATAACGAATCTCGATTTGGTGTAACGTTACGCGATCAGGAAAATTCAAAACAAACGTTCGTTTTGTCAAAATTCGCCTATAACACTAAATATATATAGGAAACCACCTTCTGCGCATTATCAAAAAGTTCTCCTTGAGCAATTTTACCATTAAAGCTCCTCTAACCCTAATACTAGCATAGGCCTAACCTAACATAAATGAACTTAAATATCGCGTGATGGTAAAAATTTTGTTGGCAAAGATTTCAACGTGCCACAGTACACGTGCTATTACGGACATCTCTGTGCTAAACCGTAACACCACCCGGACTACTTTTCTCATAGGGCGATCTATAATGTGAGACCCGAAAAGTGGTTAAGTTGGGTCCGGAATGGTATAACGTGACCACGGGTCACGAGGGTAAAATTACATAAATTACGTTTGTTACATAAATTGCATTTATTGCATTTATACGATTTATGTGACTTATGTGATTTATTAGATTTATGTGATAAATTAGATATATTACTTTTATAACATTTATGTAATAAATTAGATAAATTGCATTTGAACTATACATTATAAATAAAGGCCATGTTGGTGCATAGAGAAGAATAACTCCCAAGTTCACTCTTATAAACAATGGAGTTCTTTCTTGAATAATTCCTACTACCCAACTCATACTTTCCTTAATTACCCCCTGATATTCTACTAAGTGGCATAGTAGAATTATCTTTGTGAAGTCCATAGACTAATCTATA